GTGGAGCCAAGCAAACTAAAGCTGTGTACAATCTCAATCTCTTCACCATCCATCCTGATGCTGCCAATTGGCCCAGTGGTGAGAATCTTTGTCTTGTTGACATTGACCCCAGAGGTATATGGTTCAAATCCACCAGATGCTTTGCTGGAGAAGGAGGAGCAATCTCCTCCTGTACCAGTCAGATCTGATTTGACAATACACACACACAAAATACTAATAAAAAAATTATTGTGCTGCATTCCTGAAGGAACATGGTTCAAGAACACCAGATGCTCCGTGGGAGAAAGCTGGGCAATCTCTTGTGTGATTAACTGCTTCTAAAAACCTGCCAGAGGCCAGCTATGGGGCTGACGCTACAGTATAAAACTATGTCTATGTCTATGTAGGTTGTTGTTGATTGCCTTCGAGTTGAGCATGACTCATAGCAACCCTATGAACAAAAGGCCTGAAGTCTTTCTATAACGACATTTATCAAAGTTCATAGAGTTTCTGGAGGCATGTTGTTCAGAAAGTGGATGCCACTCTTGCTTCCAAACATGTCTTAATCTGGGAGATCAAACAAACACCTTCTACCATGAGTACCCATCATGGCATTTGGCACCCCAGTAAACACATTACCCTTTTGTGTATTATTAATATATTCCATTTAACTTGCATTGGTCCTGCTCTATACTAGTTCTTGTAACTAGTTCATCCCAACATTATTTCATTATGGTAGAATCTCAAGGGCAGTAAAAATAAATATCATTAATTGTTCCAAATTTTAAGGCACATTTTGAGCAATTTGTGTGTATATACATACAACACAAATGTAAAACAAATATGTGACAGTGTCTTTGTACTTCAGGAGTTTGTGATGCCTTAAAAGAAATTTGTTATTTAATAATATTGCTTAAGATTATTAATATTTGCCTTTTCATTGCTGACAAGTTGGAACTGACTCATAGTTGACCCTCTGTTGGGTTTCGGAGGCTGTAAATTATATGAGAGGAGATTGCCCAGCTTTCTCTCATGGATCCCCTAGTGGCTTCAAACTTCCAGAAAGACATCACCTTTGAGTCTCCCCCTTGAGAGAATGCAGTTCCTTACAGACTATACCACCAAAGCCCCCTATTACTTACTTTGTTGTTGTTGTTTTTGTTAGGTGCCTTCCAGTTGAGTACAACACATAGCGACCCCATGAACAAAAGACTTGAACCCTGTTCTATCCTGCGCCATCCTTATATTTCCTGACAAACAAGAGCCCATTGCAGCAATCGCCATCACAATCCACCTGGTTGAGGGTCTTCCTCTCCTTCGCCGATCCTCCATCCTTCCCAGCATCATGTCCCTCTCTAAGGAATAGCAAGATGCCAAAAGTATGTGAGGCAAAGGCTCATCATTCTCGCCTCCAGAGAGCACTCTAGCTGCACCCTTTCCAAGCCATCCTCGGAATGGTCAGTGCTCTTCTCCAACACCACAGCTCAAAGGCATCAATTCTTTTTTCTGTCACCTTATTCATTGTCCAGTTCTCAGATGCATAGTAGGTGATCAGAAAAGGACCATGGCCTAAAGTAGATGTGCCTTAGTCCTCAAACTGACATCATTACTCCTCAATAATTTGGAGAGATCCCTAACTGTAGATTTTTCCGAGTGCACTGTGTCTCCTTATTTACGGACTTCTGGCACCAAGGGTGTTAATTGTGGATCCAGGCAGGATGAAGCTGTTGACAATTTCCCTCTCCTGTCCATTCATCATGATTCTGCCTATCGGTCCAGTGGTAAGAATCTTTGTTTTCTTGATAATTGAGATGCATTCCATACTGAAGGCTGTATTCCTTGATCTTCTGCAACAAATGTTTCAAGTCCTTCTCACTTTCAGCAAGCAAAATTGTATCATCTGCATAACACAGGTTATTGATGAGTTTCCCTCCAATGCTGATGCCACACTCCTCTTCATGTGGAAGCTATTGAACAGTAGTATCATTACTATCACATGCACACAAAATACTACTGAAGATCATTCAAAAATGGCTAGAACAGTATATGGTTAGGCAACTGCCAGAAGTTCAAGGAAGATTTAGAACAGTCCAAAGCACCAAGGATATCATTGCTGATGTCATACGGATCCTGGTTGAAAGTAAAGAATACCAGAAGAATGTGTATTTATTCTTTATTGACCATGCAAAGGCATTTGACTGTGTGGATCATAACAACTTGTGACTGACTCTGAGATGAATTGGAGTCCCAGAGCACTTGTCTAGAACCTGGACCTAAACCAGGAGGCTGTTGTATGAACAGAGAAGGAGAGCACTGTATGGTTTAAAATTGAGAAGGGAATGAGTCAGGGTTGTATTCTTTCTCAATACCTATTCAATCTATATGCTGAGCAAATTATTATTTAACTTAGCATGATATAAAATGTATATTAGGGTGATAACTATCATCTGATTTAAAATTCTTACCTTTAACATTTTAAGGATGAAGTGTTCAACTGTTTTTTATAAGCTTACATCACTTTTGGTTCTAGTTTGATAAATCTTATTAGTAAAAGAATCTAAGCACTTGCTCTCTGGAAGCAAGGATTTTGAAACTCAGTTTTACGTACTTCAGGCATGTTGCCAGGAAGGACCAGTCCTTGGAGAAGGATGGAGGGACAGCACAAGAGAGGAAGACCCTAGATGAGATGGATTTACTCAGTGACTGGGGTAAGGGGGCAGATGTGTCAGAGACAGTGAGATTGGCTTAGGATAGGACAGAGCTATTGTGCATAGGGTCACTGTGCATCACAGATTCCTTGATGGCACATAACAATAACAATACTTGCAAGACATAAAACACCTATAAAGAGAAAATATGCACATACATTTATAGATACAGCTATACATTTTGAAATTACATAAAATGTACTTTAATGCAATCAGGAAGAAAGCTCTAAAAGGCATGACATTTGGGGATGTGATAAGACTTTGCTAAGTGGAATCTGTCTTTCTGAATTCCTCAAGATTGTGATCTCTTAGAAGTAGCAATGTATACAGATTAATGATAAATTTTTAATGGAATTTTTAATTATCCCTTGCCTATAGATATCTCCTTATTGGTCACTCCACTAATACATGCATCCTTGGAGAAAAGACAGTCATCTGGGAGAATGAGGCACCTATTTGTAACCGTGAGTTGAAATAATTTCCCTGCTATCTTTACCAGTGGACTCATTGTATCCTTGGAATTACAGAAATCTTATTACAATCTCCTTTGTGCATTTCATCCTTAAGGTAGCAGAACGATCATGTCATAATGTTCTCCGAAATACCTATGTTATAATGCTGCAGACAAGTTTGCTTAAGTTACTTCTTATCCTGGCATGAAGCTTTTTGGATCTGTTGTGTGTCATCGAGTTGGAATGGATGCATAGTAGATCTTCCAGTGGGTTTTCAAAGGCAGTAAATTGCACCAGAGGAGATAGTTCATCTTTCTCCCACAGATCAACTGATAGATTCAATCTAGGTGCCCTTGGGTTAGCAGTGCCTTTCCTTACCACTAGACCAGCACAACTGCCTTCACTCTAAGGACTTACATTTGTAAAAATCTTCAGACTTCATTCTCCCTTCAACTGAAAGGCAAATACATTGGTTCTCTTATCCCCAGTACAATTCTTATACTCCTTGGAAATTTTAAGTAGAGATTTTCTAAAGTAAAACTGTGCTTCATTGGTGAAACTGGAGAAGAATAAGTCAGAAAGTAGCATACGAAGTCTACAGTTTCCAGAAGAAAAGGAACAATAGAGACCAGAGAAGAAATAAATAGAAAACTGAAAAACAATAGAAGGAATTGACAAGACCAAGGCTGTAAGGTGATTCCTTGAAAGGGTTAATAAAATGCATAGACCTCTGACAAACCTAGCAAAGGAAAAAATGCAACTAACCATACAAAAATCTTGCTAAAGATGTATCAAGGACCTTGGCAAAAAATCTGAAACTATAAAGGTCATCAAAGGAAAAATTGGAGGAACTTAAAAAGCTCTAAACTATAACATAGACTGTTAAATATAACTAATGCACAGTTAACACAGGATAAAAGAGGTGATTGAGACCACCTAGAAACTAAATCCTTATATGTAACTAAAGACTCCTTTGAAAGAGTAAAAAAGATAACCTACAAATCAAGGAAAAGATTTGTCAATGACACATCTGACAAGGTACTCATGTATAAAATTTAAAGAAAACTCTGACATTGCAACAAGAACAAAAACAAATTACAAAATGAGCATAGGACATGAATAGACATTTCACCAAAGAAAATATTTAGATTGTCAACAAACAAATGAAGAAATTCACAAGGTCATTTGCTATTGTTGTTGTTGCTGTTTTGTGCCGTGGAGTTACCTGCAATTCATAGCAACCCTGTGTACAACAGCCCTAAACCCTGACCCATCCTGTGCCAATCTCATTGTCTCTGACACACCCATCCCGATTACCCCAGTCACTGAATCAATCCACCTCATAGAGGGTCTTCCTCTCCTGCACTGTCCCTCCACCCTCCCAAGCATGATGTCCTGCTCTAAGGACTTGCAACATGTCCAAAGTATGTCAGAGGAAGCTTCAGAATCCTTGCCTCCAAGGAACAGCCTGGCTTCACCCTCTCCAGGATGAATCTGTTTGTTTTCTTGGCAGTCCATGGTATATTCAATACTCTTCTCAAAGGCATCAATTCTCCTTCTGTCCTCCCTAGTCATTGTCCAGCTCTCTGATGCATAGCAAGTGATTGCAAAGACCATGGCCTGTATCAGGTGCAACTTAGTCCCCAGAGGGGTCTCTAACAGCAGACTCTCCTATCACAATATGCCTTTTAATTTCCTGGCTGCTGGTGCCAAGAGTGTTGATTGTGGAACCAAGGAAACTAAAGCTGTGAGCAATCTCAATCTTTTCACCATCTATCATAATGCTGCCAATTGGTCCAGTGGTGGGAGTCTTTGTTTTTTTGATATTGACCCTCAGTCCATACTGAAGACTGCAGTCCCTGACCTTCTGCCTCAAGCACTTCAGGTTCTCCTCAGCTTCAGTAAGCAGGGTTGTATCATCTGAATAACGCAGATTGTTGATGAATCTTCCTCCAATCCTGATGGCACGTTTCTCCTCATAGAGCCCAGCCTCCCAGATAATCTGTTCTGCATCTAGATTGAAAAGGTATGGAGCTAGGACACATCCCTGGCATACACCCTTCCCAATTTTGAACCATGCAGTGTTTCCTTGCTCTGTTCTGATGACCACCTCCTAGTCCAAGAAATTTCAGGAGAGAAAAAGGAAGCCCAGAAGGCGGGGCCTTCAACTCCCCCCCCCCACCACCACCGCCCCGGCCAAATGGTAGGCTTTACCCAGAAGCCCAGAAGCCCACAGATCAAGGCAGAGTGTGCATTTGCTATTAGAGAAATTAAAATCTAAACAACAATGAGATATCATCTCACCCCAGCAAAAGCAGCAACGTTCAATAGTGCATTAAACAACAAATACTGACAAGGGTATAGAGGAACTGATAGCAGTCTCCCTCTCCCATTGCTCCAGTAATCCCTTCTCCTTTCCTCTTCTTTTTGACAAATAAAGCTTTCCCTAATAAAAACTAAAAAAAAAAAAGTAAAAGGAAAAACATTTAAATTAAAAAATAAAAGAAAAAATGGAAAAGAACTAGTTATTTATGAAATGTGTTTTTCATAAACTCATGAGAAGGTGATTTGCTTAAAGCTAAGACAGTGGCTAAATACTTAGCCAAGTTAAAGGGCTTGCCCTTATAAACATAGCCCCTGCTATGGATGATAGATGTGTTAGGTTTAGAAGTATAATAATAAATGCAAAGTTGTTGCAAGAACATAAGAAAACAATCAGTGTAATCCATAACATCAGTATAACAGAGAACAAGAACCATGTGTTGATGCAGGAAAGACTTTTGACAAAATCCAACACCACTTTAAACACTGTTTGATCACCCTGCTGAATGATTAAAAGATTCAACAAAATAGAAAAGAATTTCCTCAACGTGATTAAAAGCATGTATACAAAACCATATCTGATAGACTTGAGCACTTTGCTGCAGTCACCGTGTCAATCCATCTTTTTTTTTTAAATACAAACTTTCTTTTGTTAAAATTTTCATGTGTGTGTGTGTGTGTGTACTGTCAAATCAGATCTGACTGGTACAGGAGATTGCCCCTCCTTCTTCAGCAAAGCATCTGGTGGATCTGAACTGTGTATCTCTGGGATTATAGTGCAGCTTCTTGCCAATAGTCCACCAGAGCTCCTTGTCAATCCATCTTGATGAGAGTCTTACTCTCTTTCTCTAACCCTCCACCCTTCCAAGCATGATATCCTTTCCCAAAGAATAGCCACTCCAAACAACATGTCCAAATGTTAAGAGACAAAATTTGCCATCCTTGCCTTCAAGAAGCACTCCTGCTGCACCTTTTCCAATAAATACCTGTCCAGCTTTTTTTGGCAGTTCATGAGATATTCAGTGCTTTTCTCCAACACTACAACTCAAAGGCATCAATTCTTCTTCTGCCATCCTTATTCATTTTCCAGCTTTCAGATGCATAACAAGTAATTGAAAAGACAATGGCCTGAATCAGGCGCACCTTAGTCTTCAAATTGACATCATCGTTCTTCAGTATTTTTGAGAGGTGCCTGACAGACTTGACCAAAGCAATGTATCTTCTTATCTCCTGACTGCTGGTACCAAGGAAGGGCTTGAGTGTATCAAAGACAGTGTGGATAGCACAAGATTCAGGTCTGTTTTTCAAAGGGTTGTTTTGAGTTGTACTCAATTCACTAACACTTAACAAAAACAATACAAAATCAAAGCCAACATTATTTTCCAAGATGAGAGACCAAAGGCATTCCTCTTGCAAATAGGAACCAGGCAAGGATGCCCACGATCACCACTCCTATTCAATATCACATTGGGAATGTTAACTAGAGTAATAAGGCAAGAAAAGGAAATAAGAGGGTATCCACATTGGCAAAGAGGAGGTAAAACTAACTCTATATGCAGATGATAAGATACTGTATGTATTCAATGCATAGGATGCGTAAGACAATAACTTAAATGTGTTGATATCCATGGTGTGCAGTGTTTGGTGGAGCTCCCTGATTAAAACAAGCTTGGAGGCAGGAGTGACATCCACTTCCTTAAATAGCTTGCCTCAGGAAACCCTATGAACTTGAAGAAATGAAGATTATACAAGTGTTCAGGTCTTTCATTCATAGGGTCACTACGAGTCATCTACAACTTGATGGCACTTAACAACATCCTCAGGCCTCAGCTCTAGTGATGGCTTCAGTTGCTTAGGTGAGTAGAAAAACAGAGACTGCAGGAAGGAGAGGAAATACTGGTACAAGCTATTTTATGGTCTCATCAATCATTGCCACGCTATGAGCCAGCTTCTGGACAGCATAGAACCAGGCTCGAAAGTTCTGTTCACTGTACACCAACACCCCACCCCACCTCCACCACCCACCCCACCCCCACCCCCCGCAGGTTAGGAACTCAGGAGGGATAGCTGTGGTTAAGGCCTGGGCAAACTCATTATCAGGACAGTTTAGCCTGATGGCCTCGACCACACAGCCCAGGGGAACCATGGGCAGCTCAGCAGACATCATCTTCATGCTATGCTTGAGCACCTCCACTGACAACCAGAGCTGGTGGGCTTTTCTCGCCTCCTCTTCAGCAACAGCATGACTCTGTACAGCTTGCTTAGTCCCTCTGAGTTTGGTGTAGGCCATGTTTATATCCAGAGTGGTCAACTTGCTCTTGCCTCAGCTGATGAAACCCTAACTCTTGTTCATTGAGTTTTGCAGACCTGTTCCTCTCAAATTCATACTTCAGCTCCTGTTTCTGTACAGGGAGGATGTCTCATAAGTGGTTGGTGTGGCCAGAGTCCTGGCGGTGGAGCTGGCTCCACATTTCAATGTCCATAGTATCTCAGGTTTCCTCCACCTTTCTTCTGTCCTGCTCAGCTACGATTTCAATTCTGTGATAATTCCAATGCTTTACCCACCACAGACTTAAAGACCTACTTCACTTCCAGCTTGTGTTCCTCCAAGGCTGACATGATATGCTGCTACTCAGGGGCTTTCTGTTTGGTGAGCTCTCTGTTCAGCTAGTCGATCGATGATATGCATG